TTTGGTATTGGGTAAAGTACCAACAGAGATCCCAATATCAAATTTCGGAATATTGAGATGGCTGACATAGTAGTGGGCCCTTGCTATTTTTTCATATATTAATTTGTCAATCTACTAAAATGTAATTTTCTCAAAATTCCATATGAAAGTTGTTTGTTTCGGAAAATTTCCCGTTGATTAATTAAGGCAAAACCAATGCTTCCACAAATAAAACCAAATAAATTATGGGACATCCTCCTCCAACACAGTAACAAATAACCGAACAATAAATTCAATCCAATTACATTTCATTTGATGTTGGGCCATCGTGGAAGTTCATTTTTGGTAATGAATTGTTGGTCCCCCTCATCTCCCCTATCTGGGTAGTCCAAAAATAATTTAACCTAAGGGATACATTACTGTTCGAATTCAATTCGAATTATTTCCTATAACTATTTCGTGATTTTTCTTGTTATGTTTTAATTTCAATTCGCTTTCCCCGTTGCTGCTGCTACTTCTACTTCTTCTTCTTTAACTTTCACCTTGAGAGTTAATTGAAATTGATTTTCAAGTAGAAAAGATGGGAGGTGTGTGTGAGAGAGAGAGGGAGAGGAAAACTAAGTGAGAGATTGAGTCAGAGAACAAATGTTATTTAATCACTGAATCTTTGATGAGAATTTTTGCTCTAGCTGAAATAGAGTTCAAGCTTTGTGGGAGGGAAGGTGCGGAATGGGGGTAATGTGTGTTCCACACAGTTAATTGATGTTTTTTCGAAGAAGGTGAAATTGGTATGACACACATACACTCATGAGAGGTGGTGATACACATAGGTTTGGGGCTAATTAATCTCTTGCCTTTAAACTTGTAAATAAAACCATTCTATTTTTATCAGTAGTTAGATATATTTTTATTAGGGAATGGTTCAAAACGGTCTTCTTTCCTAAAAATGCATTGGTAGTGGTAAGAGATTCTTTCGCCCTACCAAATCAAACTCTCTATTTTAATCAAAGAGTAAAGTATTTGGCCCGTCAACTTAGACTTAACGATTCATCAACGCCCAGACTGAAGCTAGAATCTTGTAATTTTGTTTGAGGGTCACTCTCGGTACGAAGGGGCCAGAAAAGGCTGGGTTTTGGAAATTCGTACTAGAACAAGTATGAAATGTATTAATAGCTACTAAATATGGCACAGAACGGCTGAAGCTAGAATCTCGAAATTGTGGGTAAGCATCACTCTTCGTCCAAAGTGGTCAGGTACGACTGGGTTTTTGGAAATTCGTACCAAAAGGGTACAAAAAGTATTAAAAAGTACTAAACATTATAAGGTACTACAAAATCTTAAATTTGGAATGAGGGTTACTGATGGAGTGTATGATAGATGTATCAAAGGATTTTGGGAAATTCGTACTAAAAGTGTACGAAAAGTACAAAAATATATTACATTTGGTAACATTTCGTATCACATGGACGGTTAGAACTAAATACTCGACATTTGGAATGGGAATCCAAGTTGAGGAGTAGAGTCGATATAAGGAGGTATGAATCTTGGAGCTGGAGCTAGAATCTTGAAATTTTGGGTAATCATCACTCTTCGTCCGGAGCGGTCGGGTAAGGCTGGGTTTTTGGAAAATAGTACCATTGGGGTACGAAAAGTTTAAAAAAGTACTAAATACTATCAAGTACTACAAACTCTCAAATTTGGAATGAGGATTGCTGATGGAGTGTATGGTGGGTATACTAAATGATTTTTTTTGGAAATTCGTACTAAAAGTGTACAAAAAGTACTAAAATTTATTACATTTGGCAACATTTCGTATCATATAAACGGTTAGAACTAAATGCTTGAAATTTGGAATGGGAAGGTTGAGGAGTAGAGTCGATATAAGGAGGTATGAATCTTGGAGCTGGAGCTAGAATCTTGAAATTTTGGGTAAGCGTCACCTTCGTCCGAAGGCTGGTAAGGCTGATTTTTTTTAAATCGTACTAAGAGGGTACGAAAAGAATTAAAAAGTACTAAATACAATAAAGTACTAAAAACTCTGAAATTTGGAATGAGGGTTACTGATGGAGTGTATGGTGGATATACTAAAGGATTTTTTGGAAATTCGTACTAAAAGTGTACGAAAAGTACAAAAATATATTGCATTTGGTAACATTTCGTATCATATGAACGGTTAGAACTAAATTCTTGAAATTTGGAATGGGAATTAAGGTTGAGGAGAAGAGTATAGATATAAGGAGGTAGTTTTGGATGGATATACTCATGTGTACGAAAAGTACTAAACGGTACTAAATTTAGTGCAATTTGGAAACTGCCGGTGTGTAGGAATGGGATATGGAGAAGGTTTATAAAATTTGTACTTATGTGTATGAAAAGTATTAAATGGTACTAAATTTGGTACAATTTCGATTTGGTGAACCGATAGAGCTGGGAATCCGAAAATTAGGAATAAGACTATTATACCATTCAAGGACTAAGGAATGTAGGTAGTTTCGGAAATTCGTAATTATGTGTTTGAGACAATTTACACATTTTATGTGGGAGGTACCAGAAGGAGTGGACCGATATTACCCATCTCCGAGCTTGATCTAAGTTTGACAACAATATTACGATGTACCAAGATTGGATCAAATCGGATACGCCCTTCGAGAATTATCATGCACACCAGCCAGACAGACGGACGAACATCGCTAGATCGACTCCAAATGTCCTGAAATGGGTTTGGGACAAAGAGTCCTAGGGTCTTAAACCGTTATTTCGATGAGGCACCTTTTGGCCGTATCAAATGATATATAGAGGGTGAGATGAAAAAAATTGTAACCAAATTCAGACCGCTGTCATTTCTAAGACACTCGTCCGACAGTTGTTAAAATTATACCAGTGACAGCACATGATATTGTTTACAAGCCTGCAAAAGCATTTTGGTGAGAATTTTCCAGAAAAAAAGTTATTCGTGATGGCCACCAGAATTCAAGCGTGATAGTGTGATTTCTTTACGATATTAGGCTGGAAACCACAAGGGGCTATCGTTAGAGCACTCCAGCATTTAAATGTGAATAAATCTTTTGTGTCTCGAACAATCGTTCGTTACCGTGATACTGGTAGCGTTGCACGACTTCAAGGAAGTGGAGGGAAGAAAACAGCAACATCAGCAGAAATGGTTCGAAAAGTAAAGAAGCGACTTGATCGAAACCCGCGTCGCAATGGCCGAAAATGGCACATGAGCTGAAAATATCCCAACATTCCATTCGGCAAGTATTGAAAACTAAGCTCGGGGTAAAGCCATTGAAATTCCAAAACGTCCAAGAACTAACACCGCAACATAAAGAAAATAGGCTCAAAAGAGCTAAAGAATTGCTTTGCTTGGTCAAAAATGCTGAACTGCCGAATTTGGTTTTCTCCGATGAGAAAACATTCGTTGTCCAGCAGTTTGTAAAGAAACAAAATGATCGAGTCTACTTGCCAAAGAGGTCAGCTGAAAATGTGCACCATCGGTTGGCCACCAGAACTCAAGCGCCGGCCAAGGTGTTGGTGTGGGCCGCCATAACAGCCGATGGTCGCTCTCCGCTCGTATTAATCGACCTAGGACATCAAAATAAATGCCGAATATTATGGCGAAAATATTCTGGAGGGTGTAGTTAGAGTGGAGGGGCACGCAATCATTTCGGCCGCAGACCTTGGATATTCCAACAAGACTCAGCACCACCGCACTCAGCACGCGCCACCAAAGAATGGTTGCAAAATGAGGTTCCTTGCTTCGTTTCCAGCTCACAATGGCCACCAAAATCTCCGGATACTATTCCGTTGGACTATTGTGTCCGGAGTATTTTGGAAAGCAAGGATGGCATTTAAAAATATCAAAGTGTCGATCACCTCAAGCAAGCGCTTCGCCGGGAATGAGCCAAAATACCGCAGAGTACCGGACAGCGTGTGACGGTTTCCTTGGCAGTTTGAAGGCCATAATTCGTGCCGAAGGTGACCATTTCGAACAAATCTAAAGTTATTCTAAAATTTGATGCTATTTCCGACATTTGTTGCTTTCATTCAATAAAATTAAGAAAAAAAAAACAAAAAAAAAAAGCTGTAAGTTCGGCCGGGACGAACTTTAAATACCCTCCATAATTTGCGAATTGGGCAATTTTCCAAAAAATAAAATCCGTTAAAAATTCTTTTAAAATCTTAAAAATACCGAATGTAGCCGTATATTAGGGTCTATACGACGACGTGGACCTGCATAGGCAACTTTTGTCACAAGCTATAACAATATTCATATGCGAAGCTTGAAAAAATCTGTTTATAATGTAATAAAATCATCAAAATACCGAATATAGGGAGGTACCATAGGACCTGCACAGACAATTTTCTGTCTTAGGCTGGAGTATCCATTACGAACTCCAAATACAAAATGTGAAATAATTCGGGTAAATAATGTCGCAAAAATCATCAAAATACCGCACATCGGGAGGTACCGTTATATGGGGGCTATACGAAGACGTGGACCCGCACAGACAATTTTCTGTCAAAGGCTGTAGTATCCATTACGAACTTGAAATGTGAAATTTGAAACATTTTCAGTAAATAATGCCGCTAAAATCATCAAAATACCACACATCGGGAGGTACCGTTATATATGGGCTATACGAAGACGTGGACATACATGGCCTATTTTCAATACCAAAAGTCTTGCAGACGTAATACACACTTGAGTAAATTTTTATCAATTTACTTCATTTTGTTCGGAAGCTAGAGTGATTTCCACAGACGGACGGACGTTGTTAAATCGATTTTTTTTATCTCACCCTGTACATATGGGTGAGGGTTCTAAAAATCCTATCACTCTCTCTTAGAGCGAATCTTAATTTTAAGTTGGACTTTTCGCTGACATAGTAGCGGGCATTTGCTAGTGGCAAATAAAAATCAAAAGAGAATATGTGGGCTTTGTTAAGAGTTTTTAATTCGAGAGAGGCCATAGCTGATTCTAACTTTTTTGTTTTTATTTTCTTGATAATTTTAAAATTTTCTTATTTGGCCATCCGATATAGCCACTGCAAATCCAACATAATCTCATCATGGGTATTCGACTTCAAACGTAAATTTAGCGTAAAATTACCCTTTGGATGGATTTGAGGCAAAGCACTCTTTGTGAAGGCATTGCGAAAGAGATACGAACCCTTCTTAATCGGGCACTTCATGGGATTGCTACGATTCACCAATAAATTTTCATAGAAACTATAAAAAATCCTATTAAACAGAGGATTCGAAAGAAATATACAGCCCTCCATGTTGTTGAGACGATAGACCTCACGATTTCGATTCAATTGATTGATAATCACATCCACATACAGGGCACGAACTTCTTTGACGATTTCACAATTGTAAATGTTGTCGTCAGGTTTGAGGCGTCGAAATTCCTTGACATACACCGAGTCCACCGAGGATTTGAAATCGAGAAGCGTAAATTTGGTGGATTTCGAATTGGGTGGCTAGAATATTTTTGAAGAGAAAAAAAATGGTTTTGGATTTGGAAAAAAATATTCACGAAAACTAACATACCTCGCCTCTAACTCCCTGGAAGGTTATCATGATCCACAGGGAACTCAAAATTTTAAAAATATTTTTTTTTGAAATTCTTGTTTTCATTTTTTAGACTTTTGAATCAACTTTTGAAATTAAATTGTTCTTTATTGAGCTTTTTGTTTAGTATTTTACTGGACCACCTCACAAGGTGGGTGTGTTGGCAATGCTTGATTTTAATTGTCCCTCATTGTGTAACACTCAAAATCTCATTAGTTTTTTACAGTAATTTATTTAGTAATTTAAAAATAGTAATAATTTCAATATTAGCTTTTACGAACAACCGAAATTTTCTGATTTGAAAATATTTTGTTGATTGATTTTTAATTGTTTTCATTTTTCTCTCCTGTTGACTACAAGTGCACATGAACCCAGTCATTTGAAATGTAATCGAAGAATTTCCAATTAACTTTTAATGAAATAATTTATACATTTGGTAGATAAAAATTATGAGGTACCTGCGCGGAGAATTATTAAAAAATCATTGTTAAACGAAGGCGTATGTTTCTACACTGACAAAAATCCCAAAATAAATTTATATTTTTAAATCCACAAACATTCTATGGAGGGTATATTAACTTTGTCACTCCATTTGTAACTCCCAACAAAGTATACAGGGTGAGATAAAAAAACTGCAACAAAGTCAAACGCCATAATTTTTACATTTTTATACCCTCGACCTTCCGTTCTTAATTCCGTTTGTAACTCCTCGAAATATACATTTTAGAACCCACAAAGTAAATATATTCTTGATCAGCATAAAATTCTATGTCGATTTAGTGATGTCCGTCCGTCTGTGCAAATCACTCTAGCTTTCGAACCAAATGAAGTATATTGATAAAATTTTGCTCAAATGTATATTATGTCTGCAGGACTTTTGGTATTGAGACTGGGTCATGTAGGTCCACGTTTTGGTATAGCCCCCATATAACGGTATCTCCCAATATTCGGTATTTTGATGATTTTAGCGACATTCTTCACCGGAATTGTTTCAAATTTGGTATTTGAAGTTCGTGATGGATACTACAGCCTAAGACAGAAAATTGTCTATACAGGCCAACGTCTTCGTATAGCTCCCATATAACGGTACCTGCCGATATTCGGTATTTTGATAATTTTAGCGACATTATTCACTAGAAATGTTTCAAATTTGGTATTTGAAGTTCGTAATGGATACTACAGCCAAAGACAGAAAATTGTCTGTGCAGGTCCACGTTTTCGTATAGCCCCCACATAAGGTTAACTTTCGATATTCGGTATATTGGTGATTTTAGCTACATTATTCACCATTTTTTAAGTTTCGCATTTGAATATTATAATGGCTTATGACAAAAATTGCCTAAGCAAGTCCATGTCGTCGTATAGACCCTAATATAACAGCTAAATTCGGTATTTTTAAGATTTTAACAGAATTTTTAAAGGATGTTATTGATTGAGAATTGCTAAATTCGTTGGAATTGGTGAAGAGTTAAAAAAACTGCAACCAACTTTGGACTGCTGTCATTTCTAAGGCACTTGCCCGACAGCTGTTAAAATTATTCCAGTGACAGCTCTTTATGTTGTTTACAAGCGTATAGAAGCATTTTGGAGAGAATTTTCCAGAAAAAAAGTTATTCGTGATGGCTGGAGAACAACAAGTGGCTATCGTTAGAGCACTCCAGCATTTAAATGTGAAAAGATCTTTCGTGTCTGGTACCATAGCTCGTTACCGTGATACTGGTGCTACGCTACCATCAAGGAAGCGGACGGAAGAAAAAACAACAGCAGAAATGGTTCGAAAAATAAAGAAGGGACTTGATCGAAACCCGCGTCGCAGTAGCCGAAAAATGGCTCGTTAGTTGAACATATCGCAATATTCCATTCGGCAAATATTGAAAAATGAGTTCGGGGTAGAGCCATTGAAATTCCAAAAAGGGCAAGAACTTACACCGCAACAGAAAGAAAATAGACTCAAAAGAGCTAAAGTGTTGCTTCGCTTGGCCGAAAGTTGTGAACTGCCGGATTTGGTTCTCTCCGATGAGAAAACATTCGTTGTCCAGCAGTTTGTAGACAAACAAAATGATCGTGTTGACTTGCCAGGTCAGCCGAAAATGTGCACCTTCGGTTGGCCACCAGAACTCAAGCGCCGGCCAAGGTGATGGTGTGGGCCGCCGTAACAGCCGATGGTCGCTCTCCGCTCGTATTAATCGACCGTGACACCAGAAAAAATGCCAAATATTAAAGCGAAAATTTTCTGAAGGGTGTATTAAAGCCTTGGGCACGCAGACTTTGGACATTCCAACCAGACTCAACACCTTCGCACTCAGCACGCGTTACCCAATAATAGTTACAAAATGAGGTTCCTCGCTTAATTTCCAGCGCACAATGGCTACTCAAATCTCCGGATACCAATCCGTTGGACTATTGTGTCTGGAGTATTTTGGAAAGCAAGGTTGGCACTAAAAAATACCAAAGTGTCGATCACCTCAAGCAAGCGCATCGCCGGGAATGGGTCAAAATACCGCAGATCAACATTCGGGCAGCATGTGACGGTTCCATTGGCCGTTTGAAGGCCATAATTCGTGCCAAAGGTGGCCAATTCGAAAAAAAAACTAAACTTATCCTGAAATTTGATGTTATTTCCGACATTTTTTGCTTTAATTCAATAAAATTAAAAAAAAAATGTAAAAATTATGGCGTTTGACTTTGTTGCAGTTTGTTTTATCTCACCCTGAATAGAAAAATGTATAGAAGACCAACTCTTTCTAATAACCCTCTGGTTAACATTTTCTGTTAGATATTGTTTCTAAAAGACGAACTTCTTTCTATACAAAGACCTGGATGTATTTTATATGGATAAAACCCCTTTGAACCAACGATTGGATGTTAAAGAATAAAAGGTCATGTTTCTATAAAAGATCTGACGATTTTTTTTTTCTATTCAAATGTTAAAAGTCAGCTACTTTTAGAAAAACTTTAGAATTAGCCTTTCAGCCATTTTATTTATGGCAACTTTTGGCAGCTTTTATTTATGGCAGCTATGGAAGATGTCTTCAAACTAATCTATAGATTTATTATCTGAGAAAGGTCTTCCTTGCAACAGGACCCTTGGGAAATATGAAATAAATAAATAAATAAATAACTTTGACTTTGTTGCAGTTTTTTTTATCTCACCCTACAGATTTTAAAATTTCTATTCGAATTTTGAACTTTTGTGAAAAAGGTGAAAAGAGATGGAAGTTTCCTATTTATTTTCGTTGCTTTAGCCTCACGGGCAGACAGATATGCCTAGACCGAATGCAAATTTCCTGAAACTTTAATTTTATTAGGAATATTTTGCTTTATCATGTGATATAAACTCTCTGTAGTCATACGATTGACAGGATGAAAAATCTTCAGTGAATTAAATCCCCCCCAATGGCAGGGGATATCACTGTTCCTGCATACGACAGTGCAACCTCTTCAGTTTAAAAAGAGTTTACAAAAATTATTCAAAATACTACTTATTTCGAAAATACTAACCTCGTTTGCAGCCTGGCAACTGCTCCGAGAATAAATTTCTGATTCCACGAAGTCACGAAGTGGAGACTTGTCAACCAACAGTCAAACCAAAACGCAAGACCCACTCTAATGTAGATATTTTTTGCGAGAAAAAATCGCCAATCTCTCCTCTTTGAAAATAATTCTTGGTTAATTTAGGCTTGAGTATGGACATTTTATTTTTGACCCCCAGCATATGCGATGGCTCTGATAAAAATTTTGAACAATTAAAAATCAATCTAACAAAATATTTTCCCCCATATAATTTGAAATTTTTGATTTAGTGTTTTGAGTAAACATCGAAATTAGTTTAATTATTACTATTTTAAGATCAACAAATCAAACTGATAATGTTATTTTGACTGTTCGGAATTCCGGAAATTTTAAAATTTATTATTTCAAACACACCCACTCTCCTTAACCAACTGGTCAACTCCAAGAAAATATCAAACAAATGTAAATTAAACAAAAATGAAATAATTTTCCAAAAATAAAAAAAATACTGTTTTGAAATATAGAAAAGAAGGAACCCATAGAAAATAATGAGGACAATAAATCTCATAAAATTCATAACACCAATGTTGGGTCTTATCTGGGTTATGACACTCTTTGATGGCTTTTGGGCCCAGGTAATGACATTTTGAAATTCTTGGCCACCAAACAAAAAATATTTTTTTTTTTTCAAATAATTATTTTTAGACCACCAACACCAAATCCACCAAATTTTCACTGCAATCCTTCAAACCCTTTGTAAGTTCATTGTACATTAAGGAATTCCGTCGCATCTCTCCCGAGGATAACATCTACAAGTGCGTCCTAGTCAAAGATCTGCAATTCTTCTACATCGATGTCATCGTTAATCATCTGAACAAAGACCGTGAGGTTTATGGGCTGAAAAATGTTGAAGGCTGTGTTTTTCTCACCAATCCCCTGCTGAATCGAATCTTTTATAGTTTCTTTGAGAAACTGGTGCTGAATCACACCCCACCAATGAGGTGTCCCATCAAAAAGGGTACCTATCTCTTTCGCAATGCGTTCAGTAAAAGTGTCCTTCCACAAATTCATCCAAAGGGTAATTTTTCGTTGAATTTTCGTTTTAAGGCTAACAATGATGATCAGATTATTTTGGATCAGCAATGGATATATCGAGTGAGCAAGAAAACGTTAGGGGAGACCCGGAGATATGAAGAAATAATAAAGGAAAATGTTCTATGCAATGAACTTGAGAGAATTCTGGGAATTATCGATTTTTACTTATTATAGACATAAAAAAATGGTTCGCAGATATATGTCCTTTTCACAACAGATCTTTTGTTAACAAAAATGTTTGTTTGTGTAAAATTTTCAAAATATTGAACCCTATATGGGAGGAGGTACCAGAAGAAATTGTCCGATCTCTACCATTTTTATAATGGATCTTGTGTTGATGGTCATATTACGATGTACCAAGTCTGAATGGAATCGGAGGTTCATTTCGCGTTTTATGATTT